TGAACATGAATGGAGAAAGGTGTGGCACCTGTCCAGCAGAGCTGGACAGTATAACACTGTTTGGGATTACGCTGTCAATTCCAGTGGAGGGAAGTCGTGCATGGAGATGCATAATTAGCATGCAAAGCAATGTGGTGACAAGCGAGCGCGGGTGCACTTGCAACGTTCCAACTTCCATTAGGAGAAATAATGGCCTTCTTGGCAGAGTGATTTTTTTTTTTTTAATTAAATATCAACAATTCCTAGTAATCAGAGAACCTGCAAGCCATGAAATTTGAATCCCTTATCATGGGCTTTATCAAACGCAGGCGGGAACTGAATGCGCATATCATTTGTGCGCTAATGTTGTGTGGAATTTCCCAAGCACATTGAAGATGGCCGCGTTTGAGTCTCCCGAAGAGTGCATCTTTTCTTTTTTTCTGCCACATGGGTTGAAAAGAAATTACATAGGAACTACTTGTGAGTGTTTCTGTTCCTTTGGTGTCAACAGTCTGGTGTACTGATGAGGACCAGACAGACAGACAGACAGGCAGACAGGCAGACAGACAACCTTTATTGGCATATCAGAGATGAAAAGTACATTAAAATTTAGGAATACATCCAACATGTGGCTGTCATACAAACAAACAAACAGCAAGGGGGGAAAAAACCCTGATTAGTTCATAGTTTCCCTGATTTGCATTGCAGATTGAAGAAAACAGGCAACATTTAAAGTTATAGAAGAGTTTTGCCCAGAGACTAGCCACTGGGCTTTGACACTCTCAGGGAGACCACGCCATGTAAAAAGAAGGGAGTCCAGAAATTTATCCCAGGTCTTAGTATAAAATGGAGAATTTAAAAGAACGTGGGAAACAGATTCGTTGGCACCCAGACCACAAGGGCATTGTCTGAGTTCATAAGGGATTTTGTGGCATCTTCCAGAGAAGATGGCCGATGGCAATACGTTAAATCTGGCCTGATGAGGACCAGTTTGATTTGATGGGGTTTGTCAGCTGGGCTTGATTGGCACATTTGACCTGTGGCTCACTGGGTCAGTGCATAGGAAGCCAAAGCATTACAAGCGGGCTGGCGGGGGGGGGGGGAGCTCCGAACACAGCGTCCTCCCAGCAGAATGTATACCGATTACAGTAAAATCTCGATAATATTTTGGGAGACAGACAGTAATAGCTCGTCTTTTCAGCTTATAAGGAAGATGAAGCTGTGATCATTTGCATGTGTGAGAAATACGGAAGAAAATAAGACGGGACACAAACAGATTTATTTATTTATCACCTTTTTATCATGCCCTTCCTCGGAGGCACTTACTTCATGTTTCTCCTCCATTTTATCCTCAAAGCAGGCTCTGTGGGGTGGGTTAGGTTGAGAGAAGAAGAGTAGGTTTTTATACCCTTTTCTCTACCCTAAAGAGTCGCAAAGTGGCTTACAAGAGCCAGTTTTGTGGTGGTTAAGACGGACTGCAAGACGGACTCTAATCTGGGAGAACCGGGTTTGATTCCCCACGCCTCCACTTGCAGCTGCTGGATGACCTTGAGCAAGTCATAGTTCTGTCAGAGCTGTTCTCTCAAAGACAGTTCTGGAAAGAGCTCTCTCAGTCCCACCTACCCCACAGGGTGTCTGTTGTGGGAAGGAGAAGGAAAAGGAGTTTGTAAGCTGTTCTGAGACTCCTTTAGGTAGTGAAGGGCGGAGTATAAATCCAATCTCCTCCTCCTCCTCCTCCTCCTCCTCCTCCTCCTTCTTCTTCTTCTTCCTTCTGATGGAATTTGTGCCCTCCATCAATAATTACACAGGAGTCAGGATGTCATCTTTGGCACTACCTCTGAAGATATTTTAGAAACTACTGGTGATGCAAAATTCCTGATCATCTTCTGTTGGTAGCAAGCTAGTGAGAATGTAAGAAGCCCACTGTTGTGTTAACTGCAGTAGCTAGTTCTTTTCCTTCCGGGCCTAGTTCAGGAAACATACCTGTTAACCATTAGGGGCTGGGCACCAACACGCCTAAGAAGAGTGTCTTGCAGCCATTAACACCTGAAAAAGTAGCCCTTGAAAGGGTTCAATTTGCCGGAGAAATAAATCCAACATGGACAAGGTTAAAGCCTCCGGAGACATGGCTCTCACTTATTGGAGAGGCAGGCCTGTCTGAGGCCAAACGTCCGTTCATTAGAGAACATTGTTATTGTTGATTATGGCCAACAATTGATGTGATCGGACCCAATTTACTTTGAGATGGTTTTATTTTGATGGTTATCAGGGCTTTTTTTTTGTAGAAAAAGCCCAGCAGGAACTCATTCGCATAATAGGCCACACCCAACAGCAGGAACTCATTAGCATATTAGGCCACACCCCTGACAGCACAGCTCATTCGCATATTAGGCCGCACCCCCATGTTACCAGAATTGTGGTCATCCAGCCACACCCACCTTTTGCTTCTTAATCTGTTTACCTTGTTTGTTGTCAAAACCCAGGGCTTTTTGCATGTTAGGCCACACACCCCTAATGTAGCCAATCCTAATGAGTTCCTGCTGTTGGGTGTGGCCTGTTATGCTAATGAGTTCCTGCTGGGCGTGGCCAACTCGGGAGCCAGCCGGAACTCCGTTCCTGTGCGTTCCTGCCCAAAAATAGCCCTGATTGGTTATTATTGGGCCCAGACACAAGCTAAGACCTGGGTTTCCAGCGTGGGCTTGCCTCCAACTGGGACAAGCAATTTGAATTGGAGGAGTCCACATTTTTAAGATTTCCCAAGGCAAATCTCGTCAGCATCACTAGTTATAATTTGAAACCTCCCCCCCCCCCGAAATACACCACACATATTCATTTCCCTCCAGCATGGCCATTGAAGTTTCTGGGGAAAGTTCTGGTGGGCTGATGCGTGGAGAGGCCACCCGGTGTGATGTGGGTGGGAGCGGCCACCACAGCCAGCTGGTGACCTCCACGAAGGAGGTGGTAACTGCCAGAGGTCATTTCGGGGGGGAATGCGGGGGATCGCAGTTCCCCCGGGTGAGGTGCAGGGCGGGGCACATGATGAAGCCCCGCCCCCTGCTTCCGGCCGCCCCGCTTCCGGCCCTCATTCAGTCAGGAGGAGGCAGGAGAAGAGGGAGGGTAAGTTGCTTCCTCCCTGCCTCTCCCCACCCCTGCCTGCCTGGGGCCAGGGAGGGCCTTCGCGGGGCTTCCTTGCACTCCCGCCGGCCTTGCAGGTCCACCGCCGGGCCCCTCATGGGGCTCGGCAGTGGAACTGCAATGCCGGCGGCGGCGGCCGGGACCGTTGGGGGCGGGGTGTGTGGCCTTACGACACACTTCCGGTGATGTCAAGGGGCGTGGCCTCATGACACACTTCCGGTGATGTCAGGGGGTGTGGCATATGCTAACGAGTTATGCTAATGAGTTCCCCGGCTCTTTTTCTACGAAACGACCCCTGGGAACTGCTTTTCCCATAGGTCACCCCAGCCACTGGTAGGGGATGGGGGTAGGGTTGACAGATCCAGGTTGGGAAACTCCTGGAGATCTGAGGTACCCCCTCATCCTGTACACCCCCCCCCCGAAGAGCATTACGCTCTATGGTTCAGCATCTCCTGGTTGTCCCTGGACCGAAGGACGTCCATCTTGCCTTGACCAGGGCCGGGGCTTTTTCTGCCCTGGCCCCTGCCTGGTGGAACATGCTCCCTTATCAAGATTTAGGGGCCTGCGGGATCTTCAATTCCGCAGGGCCTGCAAGACGGAGCTGTTCCGCCAGCCTTTTGGCTGAGGCGGCGGGTGTCCGTGTATGGACTCCCTGAGGTAGTTCGTCACCCGCTTACAAAGCCAAATAATATGCTAGGCAGCCTCTCATAGCCAGCTGATTTTGTTGGCCTGTGATTACTTTAATGTTTACTATTGTGTTTTTAAAAAATCAACTGTATTTATCGTATTACTAAAATGATATAACCTGCCCTGAGCCCGCTCGCAGGATGGGTGGGCTGTAAATACAAATAATAACTAAATAATTGAGGAGCCCGGTGAGAACAGGGACCTCAGAGGGGTACAGTGCCATAGAGTCCACCTTCGAAAGCATCCATTTTCTCCAGGAGGACAAAACTCCATAGTCTGCAGATGTTTAATTCCAGGGGATCCCCAGGTCCCACCTGGAGGCTGGCATCCTTATAAATTCCTTGCAAGCCAACAGCTCCTGCCCCCTGCACAGCACATGTGGGTGTGGGCCAGATGGGAGATGCAGCAAGCCTTCTCCTTCCCTCCCTCTCCATTGGGGATGGGGCCAGGGCCTCTGCCTCCTTCCCTTCCCCCTCTGTAGGGTTGTGTCCTCCCACTTGGGAGATACCTGGAGATTTGGGGGGAGAGCCTGGGAAGGGTGTGGTTTGGAGAGGGAAGGGACCTCAGGAGGGTAGAATGCTCACTGTCCAAAGAAACAGATCAGCCAATATCATAATGCCCCTATATAAATCAATGGTGCGACCTCATTTGGAATACTGTGTGCAGTTCTGGTCACCACACCTTAAAAAGGATATTATAGCATTGGAAAAAGTGCAGAAAAGGGCAACTCGAATGATAAAAAGGATATTATAGCATTGGAAAAAGTGCAGAAAAGGGCAACTCGAATGATAAAATGGTTGGAACACTTTCCCTATGAGGAAAGGTTAAAGCGCTTAGGGCTCTTTAGCTTGGAGAAACAACGGCTGAGGGGTGACATGATCGAAGTTCATAAGATTATGCATGGGAAAGAGCAGGTAGAGAAAGAGGTACTTTTCTCCCTTTCTCACAAGACAAGAACTCGTGGGCACTCCATGAAACTGCAGAGCGGTCGGGTTAGAACGGATAAAAGGAAGTACTTCTTCACCCAAAGAGTGATTAACACTTGGAATTCACTGCCACAGGAAGTGGTGGCAGCTACAAGCATGGACGGCTTCAAAAGGGAATTAGATAAGCACAAGTGGAGACCCGCAACAAAATGTTGCGTACTGTGTTCTAGTTGGGTCTCCACTTTTTCTCTTCCCTCCCCCCCTGGCTCCGAGCCGAGGCCCCCCCCTGCTCGCCGCTCTGCCCGCTTCCCTCCCATCGGCGGCAACGGCGGCTTCCCCCCTGGCTCCGAGCCCCACAGCCTGGAGAGGGAGCCCGCCCCGCTCCTCAAGAGCGCCGTCCAGCCGGCCCTCCTGGTCTCCTGCGCTCTCCTGCTGTGCTTGTGGGTGCGGAGACGCTGCTGGGCAACGTGCTGCAGCTGGGCCGCCTGCCTCACCTCACCTTCTGTGAGCTGGCGCGGCGCTACAGGGACGTCTTCCAACTGCGCCTGGGCATGCGCGCCATCGTGGTGTTGAACGGCGAGGCGGCCATCCGGCAGGTGCTGGTGCAGCAGAGTGGGCTCTTCGCTGGGAGGCCCAACTTCCCTTCCTTCCGCCTAATGTCGGGTGGCAAGAGCATGGCCTTTGGGCGCTACCCCGAGCGCTGGCGGGCGCAGCGGCGGGTGGCCCACGCCACACTGCGTGCCTTCTCGACGGCCAAGACGCCCGGCAAGCTGCTCTTCGAGCAGCACGTGGTGGCCCTCGCCGCTCTGGCCCCCCCTCCTTGCTCGCTGCTCGCCGCTTCCCTTCCAAGCGGCGGCTGCGGGCG